ATGGTACAGCAGACCTCTCCTGTCTCGCCTGCTGCTTCCCTCAGTAGTTTAATTCAGTGCCTTTGTCTGTTCTGTCTCCACTCTGTCTCTGGTGAATCCTATCAAACCCCCATCTCCATCCCTGGTACCTCTGGCTTATACCCTAGTTCTTGTATGCACAAATAAATATTTCTTTAAAAATATGTTTTAAGAGTTTTTTTAAAAATCATACTTTGTAAATTTGCAGAATTTAAAAACATAAGACTTGGAACTTAAAATCTAAAAGTTAAAGCATAATTAAATGACAACTTCAAAAAACTTAGTCTTTGCCAATTATTTATTATGCCTTAGTATAATTAATGTTTATTATATTTGCTTACAGCAATTTTATCCTACAAAATACCTCAATCTTTCTGTGTATCACCTTGCTAGCATATTCAATGTGTAAGCAATAGTTTCAAGAAGTGATAATGTAGACTAAGAGTTTAACAATGCCACATAGTCACTATTTAGACCTCGGGTACAGATGACAGACAATCACTACTTAAAATATAATTATAGGGCCTCCCTGGTGTCCTAAGGGTTAAGTCTCAGCACTATCACCATGCACTGTGAGTCTGATACCCAGCCAGGGAGCTAGCCCACATGTAATGCAGCACACCTCCCCTGTCGGTCTGCTGCTTCCCTGAGCAGCATATTTCAGTAGATCTGCCTGTTCTGCTCCCCACTCTGTCTTTGGTGAATCCTCTCACCCCCCTGGGTTCCTCTATGCATAAATAAATAAATCATTTTTAAAATTAATAAAATATAATTACATAATACTTTTAAAAAGTGCACTTCATTCCTGTAATCCAAATACAACTAAAATTTTCCCTATTACCTGTATTCTAAAATTCAACAGGATAAATTTTAAAGTTACAATAACATGCCTACCTTTCTCTTACAAAATCTGCCAGTTCCTTTGTCGATATCTGTCCATGCTTCATATTATGGTAAAGGACATCAAAGCCACTATTCTTCTCCCCCTAGAATTTAAAAAGATATTTAGTTTAACAATAAAAAAAAAAAAAATCAAATGATTTAAGAATCACCTAACTTTACATTAACTAATATGGAATGCTAACGCTCAGGTGAGCTTTTTCCTAAAAGTTACTCATTTTTGCTCACTGTAAAACTCTGTATGAAAGGAATATATATGCTTTGATAAAGTTTGTAATTTATTACAGAACTTCCTTAGCTAATGACAAATACATGAACGTACATTAAATCTCTATTATGAAACAGAACTATTATCCAAAATCACTCTGGTTTTTAATATTTTGCTGAAACTGTGGATGTCAAGTCCTTTGATCTAGCGATTTGAATTTTAGAAATCTATTTCACTAAAAACAAACATACTAAGATAAATGTGGAAGAACTCTGCAGTATTCTTGTAATAGTGAAAAATAACTCTGAAATAGCCATTAACATTATTGTTTAAATAAATGATAATATATCCTACAATACATGAAAGTGCTTTTCTTTTTTAAGATTTATTCGTACAGAACTGGGGTACAGGCCAGAGATGCGGAGGGTAAGAGGATTCACCAGAGACAGAGCGGGGTACAGAACAGGCAGATCGACGAAGTATACTGCTGAGGGGAGCAG